TATTTTTAATTTATTAACTTTAGACTATTAATTAACATTATTATTACTATAATTATGAATTTAAATGTGAAAATGAGTAAATAACCCTTAGTTAACTATCAATTGATATGATATCAAATATAAATACATATATATATATATATATATATTTATATATATATATATATATAGGTATTTAAATTTATATATGTAACTGACTGCCAGAGCTATTATAAGTCACTATAAGCTATGAGCTATGATTTATGACCCCAACTGCACGGACAAAATAATTTTACTATAGTCACAAAGAAGTTAGGACTAATATGATTTAAGCCGTGTAGTGGCGACGTAAAAATATCCACTACCACATAATATCGCTTGAGTGTTGTAAGAAGTGATAAGAGAAATCAAACTGAAGATGGCTACTATGACTAATAGCTAGAAGGCAATCTATAGGGGAGACCCATGTTTGGTTGACTTTTAATAGGCTGTAATGCTAATGGAAGTGAGAGTAAAAACTAACAACTATTAGTTTTAGAGGCCGCTTCTAGTCATACACTTGCTATAGTTAAACTTGTTTAGAAACAACCTCTTTACATAATGGGCTATCTATGGGGAGTTCTAGGTTCAGTAATGGACTTGGTTGGCTATAGACATCCGGTACTTGATTTTGATAATGTTTTTAGTCTAGGCTTGTTAGGGTTAAGCTTGAACTTATTACACTGTTTTTAGATGTCGAAAATACATTTTGAATTAATTACGATAAAAACAAATTTCACTAAAAATTGTGTAATAACAAAACGTAAATATGACAATTTGTTCTTGTATTATGAAGTAGATGTCCAATACTTGATTTTTTAATTTTGTTTTCAATTTAGGAGGATTGTCAGGGTTAAGACCGAACCATTTACACTGTTTTGTGGATTTCGGAAATGTCTTTTGAATTAATTACGATAAAAATAAATTTTACTAAAAATTGCATATAACGAACCGCAAATATATGAATTTGTTTTTTAACACAGATACATACATAAAAAGTTAATGACTCAGACCCAGACAATCCATTTGTGGCTGGAGACAGGACTTAATATACAAATAAATTGAGTCGCAGTGGAGAGCAGTCAAGAGATTTATCAGAAAACAAAATTATAACAATTCAAATTTCATTATTTCATTTACCACTATAATAGCAGAGTTTAGGGCAACCACCTACTTACTATCATAGCAGAGTGTAGGGCAACCAGACTTAATAGATAAGATTGGTCGAATCGATTCCAAAACCGAATTAGCACACCCCGACTTCACATAGTCTTGTCTGCCTTACCCCTAGAGTGTTTTTGTAAAGCCGTAGGTACGGAGGGAGAGTAGGCCCCGCCTGCTGTAGCAAATAGCAGGCACTTAAGTGAGCAGTAGCGGCTGAGGACCAATAAGTCGGAGCTGCAGAGGTGAGCAACCCCCCCCTCCTAACACAGTACACGAGTACCGGACATCTACAGTTTACCCTGGGCTTTTGATAGACTGTTACAATGATTCTGTGTTTTATGACTTAAGGTGTCATACAAAATATTAATGCATTATTTATATCATAAATCATTGTACTGTTTTAAAATTATTAACCATATGAATATTTTCACAACTTAGTATGGTATATTGTGAATCAAATTAATGTTTTCTTTTACGTAGCTATAATTATTCAATATTCCTACATAATTTTAACATTTCATTTATTGTTTATAAATATAATTACGCACCTGTAGTAGAAAGTACACTTTCAGAACTAGTGTACCGAATCCTTTCATTAAGTAAAGTTAATTGAAGGTTTTCATTTTTTAATGTATTCACATTATCAAACAGTCTGCTTTCTGAAAAATAAAAGAAACATAATGATTATATCTTTTAACTTACTTTCCACTTAAACTTGTTGTCATGTGTTATGTGTGTAAAAGAATTAAACACCTTTGGTACTGTAGGTGTGTAAAAGGCAACTATTAAAAACATTGTTGCGTTGATTGGTAGTGTTGCCCTCAGTGTGCATTCCTGAATTATTTTGGTTATATTTTGTATTCACTTCTATCTATGTGTCTAGTGTTGTTGTGACGAATGTTTTATACTGTAGAGTTGTTACCAGAAAATATTCATTTATTTAAACAATTAAGAGAGTAATTTGTAATAAATGTCTATTTCTACACAGACAAAAAACTGTCCACTCATACATGTAATATACAATAGTATGAGAAAGTAATAAAAATTAGAGATCATTATCGTTTTCAACTGAGTCTAGTTTCATACTACTCCACAAAAATAAAAAAAACTGTCAGTCGTAGGACTACACTTCTGAAGTGAAAAGTTCTTAGCTTCACAAACTTGTAAATATTAGTTTTGGGTTGTTAAGAAACATTTTTGGGAATAATTTTTTATTACAAAAAATATTTATCAACATATTAATGTTGTTATAAAATTTTAATTTATTGCACTGTTTAACACGACAAGAATGATTAATATCTATATAATACAGACAAAATTATAAATACACATCAATGTTATAAAATTTAATAAACCAAATTTTCAACATTACTTTCATCAATTTTATTTATTATCTGAGCATGACGGTCATGCGAGTCCAGTGCTTTTTTCGCATCCCAAAAATTTCCAACGTGTCTAAAGAGGTTTTCTTTCAAAAAAAATATCAGTTGCACAATATAAAATAAAATTTATCGCTTAAACTGAAGCGTAAAGACCAGAGTGGACTCTAAAGCCTTCTACTTCAAAATCATACATGAAAATAAATATGTGCCATTCAATAGTAGACATCAGTATTGTTTTTACAGTTGCATCTCGACTAAAAATCGGAGGTCTTTAATCTCTTTTTTTTGTTTCTGTTATTTTAATATGACGTCCACACATAGTTCTAAAAGTCATCGTGTTACTAAACAGCAACATTTAATATAGAGGTTATGAAGTAAAGATTTATCAGTTGTATTACATATTAATTAATATTTGTAATTGACATGTACTTATATTATATGCAACAACTCAATTTTTTATTGACAGATATTGAATAAAAATTACATATAATATACAATGAGTAGATAATCACATATTAGGAGCTTCATTAATTTTAAAACGCTATAAACATTTACCTACAATTTTTCAGTTTTTAAGTACAAATACTACTTTTAATTAGGTAATTGATTAGGAATCCAAAGTTAAAAATATTATTATGGATGCTGTCGTGAATGGCATATTACTTTATATTTTGGGAATACTAAGTGTAACTAAAAACTTTATAGTGGGTTATAAATAAAGATAAATAAGTAATAGAGGTTATTACTTACGAAATGTAATAATATCGTGAAATGCGGTTGTTTCTCTTTTGTTTCTTGACTGTAATTGATTAACAATAATGTCTCTCCACTGTCTACCTTCCATTATAGATCACAAACTTAAATCATTTATCTAAAATAATTATTATTGTAATTATTGATACCAAAACAAATAGATGTCACATGAATTGTACTTTGATTATAACCTATCGTTACTGAGAGACGTACGTAAACTTAAGATATTCTAAAAAGTAATAAGTATAGCTATTAACAACTTATAAGAACTAATTAATTGAGATTAATATTTGTGTTTGTACGTCTACTTTGTAATTTGTTTCTCTTTTGCTGGTGTTTATCTGTCAGTTCTGTCAAAAACACGATAGTCAAAAGAAAAGAGATCATGCAGGATTACAAACATAGCATGTATTTTTAATGAGATAATTTTTCAATAATAATATTATACAACAGAGTTTCCCAAATTTTTAGAGCCGTAGACCCCTTGCCATGTTTTTCCGTGTTGGGTAGACCCCCTAATTACCTAATATTGATTTCCTGTATTTCTAACTGTAGTGAAGTTTAGTGTTAAAACTTAAAGTTAAAAACACATGTTAATTTATACATTTATTAATTGAATTTAAATTAAAACTACTCAAAATAAAATGTTGTATCTGTTATGTAAAATATACGTAGCATTGAATAAACTATAAATAAAATAACATAAGCAATAAGTCAATATTTTTAGTGAGAAGGATGAACTGCTTTAATGCTTTAATAATAAATTATCAACATTTGGCGACAATTTTGTAAGGGTTTAATCTTAAATCTCCTCGGCTAATAATGTCCAGTCTGTTTCTTTTTTTCGTTAGGAGATTGGTAACAGCGCTGAACCCCCTTTCCACTAGGTATGACGATGGAAAGGAAATTAAAAATTTCCTCGCTATATTCCATAATACGGGATAAGTAACGGGTATGTTGTTTTGCAGCCAGAATTGCTGATATCCGTTTTTAAACTGAACCTTAAGTTCTTCGTTTGTACTTAGTTCAGTCAGTTCCTCTTGTATTATGACCAGTGTTGTCAACGTATGAAATAGCAATCCGCCAGACAAGGCTCCTCAAACCACCAGAAAATCACTAACAAAAAGATGTCCCCCTCTGAAAACCACTAAAATTTCCACTAAGATATATGAATATGATTAAAACAAAAAAAAAAGTAAAAGTACGTTCATTATTAAAAATCTTATTGTTGTTAATATATTTTTTTTACTTTTAGTAATTAAAAAAATCAAGTTGCTTAAGATATTATTTACATTAATAAATCGTCTTCAGATGTATCTGCATTTTCATTTTCAGCATTACTGTTATTCTTATCAGACTGATATGACTCCTTCGTCCCAATTTGTTTTATAAGATTTAAAGGAATTTCATAATTGTTGCAGCACTTTCCCATTAACTGCATACCGCAGCGTATTTTTAGAATTGATTTCAAAAGAGTTAGCTTCATTCTGTTTCGCTGTTTGTTTTTTATAATATTGATGCTACTAAAAATTCTTTCCACATCAGAATTCGAATGTGGCAATACCAAAAGTGTAATAGCAAACGTTGCTAATTCTTGAAATCGAGCAACACCTTGTGCATCTTTGAATTTCAAGACTTCGCTCCAAAATTTTTTTGTATCTTTTGTTTCATTCCATCTCAGTATCAGTGAATTTGCTGCCATTGATCGTCAATTTTTGCAATTAATTCTGTACTTGATACGAACCGAGCCATTATATCAACCAGATTTTCTTTGTTGTGATGCAGGGCTTTTTCGACAATTATACGGGATAATTGTTTCATGAGAGTAGTATTTTCCAGCAATCTGTTTTTTATTTCGTCAATCAGACAAACTATAAACTGTATGCACCTATTCCGCAACACTTCTTCCTCTTCCCGTGGAAAACCTTTCTCTTTCATTTCTTGAATCTGTTTTTCGAATCGGAATCCCAGGTAGCATCTTTGGTCCAAATAGTCACGAATATTTTGAGTAAAGATATCTATCTTATGTGTAGGCAACGTTACTTCGGTGACAAGCGTATCAATCAAGTTTGTTAATTCACCGCACAATAAGGTGTGGTCCGTATTTTTTGACTCAAACATTTTATTAACTCTGTTTATATCAATCAAAATTGGATAAATAAATGATACATATGCATAGTTTATATCATTCGCATACATAGAGTGCAATCGCTCTGATGTGTGGCAACTTTCGTGCAACTTAGCAATCGAAAAATGAGTTTTAAGCTCCAGCCATTGCGTATAAATTCTCGACACAGCAGACTGTGGATAACTATCTAGTCTGACAGGCTTGAACAATTTTAAGAGGCTTCTGTCCATCGTTGATGGATTTGTATAGCGCTTTATAGATAACTTGTCTGGAAGACGAGCGAGCAAACCAATCATATGTCTCTCTAATTAAAAATTCAAGATTTCGCGGAAGAAATTCCTTTGCTGCTGCTGAAACAGCCAGTTACAAGGAGTGGCATAAACAACGTACCAAAACTAAGTGCGGTATTTCTTGTTTCAATCGGGCAAAAACTCCATTATTTACGCCAACCATCACCGAAGCATTATCTGTACCAATACCAATTAAGTTTTCAATTCGCAAGTCGAAATGTTTAAGCGTCCACTTTATGGCAGAAACAATACCTTCAGCATTACATGCATCGAGTTCACCAAGGTCCAAATAAGTTGAAACTATTTTTTCATGTGTAGTGCTGTAATAAATTATAAATAAACCCAAATATTTTTGTACAGCAATATCTGTGGATTCATCTATCAATAAACTGTATGGTTGATCTTTAATGTCGTTTTTTATAAGTTCTGTAAAATGAGATGCTAAAATATTTTATTACGTGCACTTAGTTCGGTGCATCTACATTTTATTTATTTCCTTTTCATGGCTATAGTTAATAACTTCTCCTAAATGATCAACTGTTCGTATACTTGTATGCATTGCTGTAAATAATGTAACTCTGGCTTCATCTTTCTTTTTATTATCAGTAGACTCCTTTTTCAATATCAGCTTAGGTTGTTTGGTGATAACCTACAAACAAATAATGAAATTTTAAAGAAAAATTAATTGAACAAGTTCGAACCGTTATAAATAACAAAGACAAAGCTATAATTTACCTTCTATTTTGTTGGTGCTTTTTCGAAAGAGTATGTGTTTTTAAATCTCCGTAGTGACTTCTTAATATCGTTCCACAAAACTTGCATTTTGCTACTTGGCCAGTGGTACTTTCAACTGCTTGAAGCCATTCTTTTAAATCGGGATCTTGAAGCCAAGAATCCCTAAATTTTTGGGAATATTGAGGTTTCGGCATAGCGTCGTATAAATAATATTTTCATTTAAAAAGATGTAATCTTAAAACGAAACAAAAACAAACAACAACGCACTGAATCCGAGTAACCTTGCGTGACCGAGTTAAAAAACATTGGACTAAGTATTGTAAAATACTGTCAAATAGAATAGAAAGCGGAAATTATATCCCTCTCAACTATTTAGTATTCCAGAGAGCGAGATACAGATAGATCTCGCCCTTGCATTCCATCGTTTTTTTTAGTCGCCTTATACTAAATATATATAACGGGGAACCCCTGTGAATGCTTTCCAATCCAATGTCTATGGAAATGAATTGGTGTTGTCTGCGTAGTAAAATATACTCCTAAAAATATATAGGTTTATATTTTGAAAGTATAAATATGGCTAAATAGATGTTTGAAACGACTATTTATATGAAACGACTTGTTTCTTATAATTTATGATAAAATTCCTAATCCGCTAAAAAAACCACTAGCCACGAAAAGCAAAAATTTGCCACTAAAAGGGGGTTCCAAACCACCAGATTTAGTGGAAAATCCACTAAGGTGGCAACACTGATTATGACATTCGTTCTTCTATGTCACCATATGGATTAATTATCCACGGTGGTATTACCATAGTCAAAATATCCTCAAACCTAGATTCAAAATCTGAATAGAGGGCATTTAAATGTTGAACGTAAGTTGTGGCAGGGCATTTAAATGTTGTCGTCTTCCTGGCAGCTTGTCTGTGACAAATTGGGGAACTGAGAAAATTCGCCCCGTCCAATATTTTGCTTCATTAGTCTAACTCTGGCAAGAAACGCTGATAAGATGGACTTTGTTTTAATCAAATTTAAACTGTCGCCTTGTAATTGCCAATTAACCATATTAAATTTTGTAAACAAATCTGTTAAATAGGCGATGTCTGTTTTCCTCTTCATTAAATTTTCTTTTAAAATTTTATCTTTAGTATCCGAAATTCTAAAATAGTCTCAAAAAGTGCAAATAATCTTGTAAAACATAAGCCTTTCGACAACCAGCGTACTTCAGTGTGAAGGAGTAATTGATGAAAGTGTTCGTCATTTTCTTCACACAACTGCGCAAACTAGGCACAAGAGAAAACGGTTAGGGAAATTTGGAGTAGGGCAACGGAACCGAAGGGGCCAGCTGCTGGCCGACTATATGGAGAAAGAGGGACTCTTTATGATGAACTCTTTCTTCCAGAAGCGGCCCCACAGGAAGTGGACCTGGTCGAGCCCCGACGGTTCGACAAAAAATGAGATTGACTTCATTATGACGATCAGACGCCAACTGTTCAGTGATGTCTCAGTGATCGCAAGGGTGAAAACTGGCAGCGATCACCGAATGGTTAGAGGCACACTGAACCTAAACGTTAAGTTGGAGAGGTCTCGTCTAATGAAGTCACCACTCCGTCCCCCTCGTACTCTAATCCAGAATCCCGAAAACTTTCAGCTCGAGTTACGTAACCGCTTTCAGTGCCTACAAGATTACAATGCAGTGGACGATATGAATGACAAGCTCGTGGAAACTGTCCGTCGGAGCTAAGTTCTGCAAGACCCACCGCAGAAGAACACAAAAACTCTCCCATCACACTCTTAATCTCATGGCTGTTAGACAGGAAATGAGGCTGCAATCGTCAACAGATTTGACAGCATACAGGCAACTGAACAGACAGATCTCCAAATGCATGCGGCGAGACTTAGGCAACTTTAATACTGCTCGTATTAAAGAAACGATCGAGCGCAACCAGGGCTCCAAAGTCTTTGCCAGAGATCTGTCTGCCAGAAAGAGCCAACTGTCAAAGCTGAAGACGGAGTGTGGCAGCATCGTTTCCGGGACACCTGAGATTTTGAGTGAGATTGAGAGGTTCTATGGGCAGCTGTACACATCATCTTTGGAGCCACACGCAAGTGTGAGTAACGATACAAGAGCAAGTCTTACCCGACACTATTCCGATGATATCCCGGACGTCAGTCTGAGCGATATTAGAATGGCTCTCCAGCACCTTAAAAACGGCAGAGCCCCAGGCGAGGATGGAATTACAGCGGAGCTTCTGAAAGCGGGTGGAACACCGGTACTTGAAGTCCTTCAGAAGCTCTTCAATTCCGTCCTCCATGGTGGCACTACTCCGGAGGCGTGGAGCAGAAGTGCGGTGGTCATGTTCTTTAAGAAAGGCGACAATGCTCTCTTGAAGAACTACAGACCAATTTCCCTTCTGAGCCGCGTCTACGTGCTGTTTTTGAGAGTCATTACGAATCGTTTCGCACGCAGACTCGACGACTTCCAGCGTCCCGAACAAGCCGGTTTCCGAAAAGGCTTCAGTACCATAGACCACATACATACCCTACATACATTCTGTACAATCTGCCGCAGATTGTACAGAAGACCGAAGAGTACAATCTGCCACTTTGCCTCGCGTATGTGGACTATGAGAAAGCATTTGATTCCGTCGAAATTTGGGCGGTGCTACAGTCCCTTCAGTGGTGCCAAGTTGACTGTCGGTATATCGAGGTGCTGAAGTGTTTGTACAGTAGGGCTACGATGGCTATCCGAGTACAGAACCAGAGTTCGAAACCTATCCAACTGCAGAGAGGTGTAAGACAGGGTGACGTTATATCCCCGAAACTCTTCACCGCTGCATTGGAAGACGTTTTCAAGCTACTGGACTGGAAAGAATACGGTATTAACATCAATGGCGAGTACATCACTCACCGTCGATTTGCCGACGATATAGTCCCTATGGCAGAATCGCTGGAGGACTTAAGCACTATGCTCAATGACCTCAATATTGCCTCCCAACGGATAGGTCTTAAGATGAACATGGACAAAACAAAGATTATGTTTAATGTTCATGTCACACCTATGCCGGTAGTTGTTGGGAGCACTATGCTCGAAGTTGTTGACGAGTACGTTTACCTGGGACAAATAGTGCGACTAGGTAAGTCCAACTTCGACCGAGAGGTCAACCGACGGATTCAACTCGGCTGGGCAGCGTTCGGGAAATTACGACATATCTTCTCGTCAGGTATACCTCAATCTCTAAAAACTACATTGTACAACCAGTGCGTGTTGCCAGTGATGACTTACGGATCTGAGACGTGGTCCATCACTGCTGGCCGTATGAGGACGCTCAAGGTCGCTCAGCCAGCTATTGAGAGGGCTATGCTCGGAGTTTCTCTGCTTGATAAACTCAGAAATGAGTATATCCGCAGTAAAACCAGAGTGACCGACATAGCCCAACGGATCAGTAAGCTGAAGTGGCAATGGGCCGGCCATATAGCTCGAAGAACCGATAACCGATGGGGAAGAAAGGTTCTCGAGTGGCAGCCTCGTACCGGTAGGCATAGTGTAGGGAAACCCCCAACTAGATGGAGTGACGACCTGGTAAGATATGAAGGAAGTGGATGGATGCAGGTGGCTCAGAACCGTGCTTTGTGGCATTACTTGGGGGGAGGCCTATGTTCAGCAGTGGACTTGTGAAGGGCTGTAATGATGATGAAGATGATGAACTGCGCAAATTCTGCGCTTCGGATTCGGTTTACTGCATCAATGACTGAATGAAGTGATTAATGCAATCTAACACTCAAATTTTTAGCAACTAAATGTTGTCGATGGATGACGCAATGTATTGCTAACACCCCTGACACATTTTGTTTTAAATAGCTTATAAATCCACGATAACGTCCAACCATTGCAGGTGCTCCATCTGTAGCTACTGGTATTATATTTGATAAAGGAATTGCTTTTTCAATGAAGTAATTCTTCAAAACATGAAATATTGATTCACCTTTAGTATCGGTTATCAAAGTTCTTGCGAAGAGCAGTTCTTCGTAGATTTCTTGATTCATAATAAAACGAACATATGCCAATAATAATGCTGCATTATCAGGTAAAGTTGACTCGTCCAGTTGTATAGATAAATGGGTCGTTTGCAAATATATAATAATAAGAAGCTTTCAATATCAGAACTCATTTCATCAATACGTCTTTCAACAGTATTGTTGCTTAAGGGAATTCTTTTAATGATATCAGATGCAGGTTTGTGTAAAACAGTTTTTAAAACCTCTTCAACGGCTGGCAAAATTAACTTCTCTCCGATAGTATGCGGTTTTCCGGATTTTGCTATAAGTAACGAGATATTGTAAGACGCCCGCAAACCATCATCTTTTCTTTTTGACGTCGAAGCGAACATTCTGTCCAGTGTAGGTCTCTTCTGAAGTTTATCTTTGAGTGTTTGAAAGTATTTTAAATCTTTCTCTGTTTTATCAGGGTGGCATCTTCTCAGATGATCTTGCAGTTTAGATGGGCATAGGCAATTGTTTGTCCTGCAATGATGGAATGAGGCCAAATTTCAAATAATCGACACTGTACTGTCTACATTTCTTTTTAGATTGAGACATGGCATCAGTCATCTGTGGGCAAAATTAAATTATTTAAATAAGACAGAAAATCCAGCAGCTGTATATAAAAAAAATTTTTTTGATTTTTCCGAAAACATTCCATAATTCGAACATCTTCTTGCAACAATTAGCTCAAATTACGGAGATTGCACTGTAATAATAATACCGATTGCTAAAACTTTCAAAAAGAAACTATTGAGGAGTACTCGTGTAATTTTGCATGATTGAATATTAAACTACTAATAACTAAAGTCATGATTGGCGTAATTTATCTATCTTGGCTAACTACGAGTACAAAACTAAAATTTAATAAAAATAATGTACTTACTTTTCTCCAGCACTCTCAAACAAAATAACACTGACTCACTATAATTTGTGTGATATACTATCTGTTTATATTTTTTAAAATATTTTCTTAGCACTTCCTTTTCAAGATTCAGGAAACGAATAAACGTATTTGTCCCACATTCGTATTTATAGAGTGACCAACCTCCATATGATCCCATGAATACCAACATCCTACAACTTACACAATTTTATAAACATATATAATAAATTTTTTACGTCATAGGTTTTATAAATAATGTATATGTTTTGATATTATAAGATAGTATGATGTAAGTAAATAGTTACTATCAGTGTATGTGTTGAGATGCACTATCGTGGACCCCCATTTTCATTTCATGGACCCCCAAATTTTTTTTCGCTGACGTAGACCCCTTGCAGGTTGTCATAGACCCCTAGGGGTCGATATAGACCACTTTGGGAATCACTGTTATACAATAAACAATACCAATTCATTATTCATAAAACAGAGCTACAGCCGTTCACCTATTATATTATTAATAATCATGGACCTAGAAAAAAGGGCGGACGCCGTCTCTTAAAACAATTACTGACGCACCCATAGTAAGTCAGTTTGCTAATACAAACAAGCCGGCACGCACACATGCACACCATAGTAAGTCTACGCCCGCCATTACGCTCCAAACCGCGCTTGCGTAGTTACTCACACATAGTTACGCGGCCGCCATTGCTGTGCGTCAATTGTTTCTTAGCGGGACTCTGTCCGCCCTCTTTTCTAGGTCCATGTTAGTAATCTATGTCAGTTCTCTGCTTTAAAGTTTAAACTGTATGAATAGTGCTTGCAATTTAAACAAAACGTAGTCCAATTTAGAATTTATTATATTGAAAGCAACAAAAGTCTTCTTTATCAGCCAATAAAAGTCCACTTCTGAGCATACGCGGATTGGCGATCGCATCTACAACACGTTTCGCACCATTGACGCTACTTCCTCTTGCTAACCTGGAAATTCAACATCTCATCATCTGTATTTTACAATATATATACCACGAGCCACGAGATCTTTGTGCCGTTGTCAATAGCACTTTAGCAGTGGAAGGGAAAAGGGAGTTTCTTCTACTGTGCAAGGTGTTCAGCCTGTCAAGCGGCTAACGCTCTTGTGGTATGGAACGGTTCCATTTATATTGAGGTAGTTTAGAAACTTTGATACCATCTTAGTGGTTAACACGTCGTCGAAATTAATTTTATTTCACGTGGATGGAATCTGCCTCAGTGGGCACTAACATATAATGAAACAAAAAGTGGTTTCCTGTATATCTTACCGAGTTATCACTTCGACTAGTGAGGGCCGTCCTACTCTTTGCTTACTGGTACGAGGCAGCCACACAAGCATCCTTTTCCCTGTCGATTGTCAGTTTTTCAGATATATGGCCGACCCATAGCCACTTTGGCTTACTGATCCGTTGGGCTGTGATGACTAACCTGGCTCTGTTGCATATAATTATAATATTCACGGATTTTATCACGCAGAGAAACAGCGCAGTTCGCTCCAAAGGACGCTTAATGACCACTTCTCCACTAAACCGGTTCTCAGTTGCATGTTATGTCATCTCCGACATACATGGTTATAAACGTATTTTTAACGCTTTAAGGAATACGTGACGAGAAGATATGTCGTCGTCGTTGCACTGCTGCTGCGGTTTCGTCAACTGACCTCGTGGTCGAAGTTTTACTTGCCTAGACAGCCAGACGGGTGGAAAATACTATAATTGAGGTTAATGAGTCCAGTTTAAAGGTCCTCCATCGATTCTGACGTAATGACTATAGTATCGTGGGCAAATCAAGGATGAACTTCGAATGCCCTAATAATTTGTACTTAATTATCCTGAATAGGTTGAGTATAAATAGAGTATTTAAATTCTAATATATAAGTCAAAGTAAAATATAAATTAGTTTTTACGAAAATCAAAAGCTACACCCGTAATTACAAAAGTGTAATTACGATTGAACATTGTTAGATTCTCATTCTAGTCTCAACCTTGAGAATCAATCTCACTGTGGCTAAAACACCTTTATCTGTCATACGTAATCTGTTGCGTGAATATTTGTGGTTGGCGATGAGAACTCCAAAGTTGTACTAACAGTGCTACCAAAGCCTACTACTTCAATGCCATGCAAGTTCTCTTGTGTATCCCCTGTGTGTTGATAATATTTTTGCTAAGTGTTGAGCCAATCTGTAAGTTGGCGAATCGATCTGACTCACTATTGGACGTAATGTTCGGTTTGTGTATTTTTGGTAACCCATACAACTTCGGTGGTTTGGCACACGAAGGTGTCATCGATTTAATTCGATGATACATACATGCATCTCAATTAGGTATAACTGGAAAACTGGATGAAAATTACATGCCAGCAGAATATGCAGTACTACTCAAACATTGCCTTACATCTGGCAATCTACTGTGGAAGATGGAACATGCATTAAATGGTGTCGCGATGGGCTCACCTGTGTGTCCCATTGTCTCCTATATATTCATGGAAGGCTTTGAGGAGAAAGCCCTCCTTACTGCACCTGTTACTCCAAGGTTTGTGGTGGTTACGACAAGCGGTACGTGGACGATACTTTCACAATTTTACCATCAGACAAAGTAACTGTATTGTATGTGTTTTTAGAACATCTTAATTCCATAAAATCTAAAATTCAATTTACTATGTAGTTAGAGGCAAATAATTCCTTAGCTTTCCTAGATGTTTAGTCATCCGAAATCCTAACAACACCATATGTCATACTGTGTAGAAAAAAGACCGATACAAACGGTTTAAACGGTGAATGTCACTATTCTTTTTCACAGTTAGCTACCGTGGGCCAATCATTGTTACAGAAAGCACGAGGGATCTGTGACAGCAAACACCTGGCCACCGAACTTCTGCACGACAACAAGCTTCGGGTCCCGTGCTTACGTTACAATGACAGAGTGAAACCGGCCACAGTCGAGTGTGTGCCCACTGTACTACCATATGGAAGAGATGTCACAGACAAGATTGGCTACATCTTGAAGTGAGCTTATATTAGAAAATTCTACAAACCACCGAAGAAGATTAGTCTGTTCTTACCATCCGTCAAGTGTCATAATCTTCTACAAGACGCAGGAGTGTAAAATCTTGGTTGTGAATATAGTCTATACATGAGGGCAAACAAAAAGATCAATTAGAACCCGCGTAAAATAACTTATAGATATCCTTGACGGCCCCAACCATTATATCAGTTTTGATAGACCACAAATCCTCGCAGGCTATTGAAATAAAAAAAAACATCCTTATTTCAATAGAGAAGGAGTCTGAATACCACCATCTGCTTGGGACCTAATTGTTAATAAAATGAAAAACAAGCTCAAAACTACCACTGGAAGACTTCAAGATACAGTAAGTTCATTCTCTGTAGATCGGACTATAAATAATAATTTAAAAAGCTGGAAGGTACTCCGGGTTGACACTGACATCGGGACGTCAGTCAGACTCAGTCGGACTCAGTCCCCCGTGACCATGGGTGCTGGAAAGCACCCGAAACGTCGGGTATATAAAAATATGATAAATTAAACGCGATAAAATCCGTAAAAGTAGTTTTAATCAATGTGTGGTGTTCGCGTAAATATGAGAAATCGTTTTGGTGCTCATTCTTGTCTATTTAGCTTAATTTCGAGGCACTAATTATTAGTATCATTATTATGTTACTATTATAATATATATTGTTTTGGTCTACAGTTGATAAAACTCCA